CCCCCCCCCCGAGGTGGAGTACCTTGCATTTTTCTGTATTGAATGTCATCAGGTTTTTATCCACCCACTTTCTAAGCCTAACAAGGTCAGCCTGGATCATCAGCCTATCCTTGGGTGTGGATGCTCTACCCCAAAGTTTGGTGTCATTGGCAAACTTGGCCAGTCTGCTTCAGACACCAGTGTCCATATCATTAATAAAGATATTAAAGAGTATAGGCCCAAGGATGGAGCCTTGGGGGACCTCACTGGTCATGGAATGACTAAAGTCAGTCCACACAAACAGAGTTATAATGCAGTAAGGCATCTACACATGCCTCACTGTGCAGTAACTACCCAGGCATAAATTTGCAGTAGTAAGGCATCTACACGTGTGCCTGTACTGCACAGCAATTTTCAGTTACTGCACAATAACAGGGCACATGTAGATGCACCCACAATGTAAGAGCATACACATGGACAGCTAAGGCACAGCAGTCAGATGTGAAAAATAGATTAGGATGCTACAAATTGAATAAGTTGCTTGCATGTTGGTACCCACACATGCAGCCTATACAGTTGCAGTCCCTGCATTTGGTGAAGTGCAGGATTTACTCATTACCAAGGACCCTGGTTTTCTCTGATAAAAACAAAATTGCCAATTTTGGGGTTAGAAAAGTAACCCAAAATCTAAATTTTTCCATGATTAAAATGAAACACCACTATATATCTATATCTATATATATATATAGATATAGATATATAGTGGATCCCCTAGCCCCTGTGCTTGCTCCCTGTCATGCAGTGAAGGCCCAGGGAGATGGACAGAGAGGTAGAAACACAGTAATGAGAGAGATCCTGGTTTTCTCTGGTTTATATATATATATATATATATATGTCTAATATCACACACACACACAAACACATATTTTAAACCAGAGAAAACCAGAGTCCCTGCTCAATACAGTGTTTCTAGGACACGGAGGCAGGACTGTGGCTAGCCATCCTCTCCCACATGTATATACACTGAGGGCAGCAGGTTTCAGCATCAAGATATTCTCATATCTGCATAATCTTCACTTAGAACAAAACTGATGAATATGAGGCATCCTCCCTTCCTAAATTCCCTATGGAGCCCTACAATTTTATGCTGTACCCATCTCAAATCAGTTGCTAAATGTCAAACTTTTCTAACTGTGCTTCAGTGTTATAATACAAAACCTAAAACATTCCCTTGATGGTCTACAACAAATGTGCCTAAGTAGTTTTTTGTATATGATGCCTATCAAATCATTTTTTATGTGTTTATTTATTTTTGGTGTAATAACATGGTACCCAAATGGTTCTTAAGCTTAAGCACTATTTTCAGTTTTCTGAATTGCAGCTCATTGGCTAGCCCAGTTTCTTATTTGTTTATTTCATGCTGTATCTCCTTGTGCTGTTTTTTATCATCCAAATGACCAATCCAAATAAACTAATTGGAAAGTTGCCTTTGACGTTTCCTTTCACACCATTTATGGAGCTCTGTGTGGTTTTTCATTTTCAGGGTCATTGGCTTTGACAACACTGCCAAGTAAGTGGAATCATAAGAAGTCATAGATATGAGAAATGGAAAAGATGGATTTATCAAATCACCTCATGAATCTCATTGCCAATCCTGGATTGTTTCCTCCAAGATGTTAGGATGTTTTCTAGTGTTTTGTTCAGGTTAGTTACAATAGTCCAAAGTCAGTCAGTTACAACAACTTCCCCATGGAAGCTCTCTCACAGTTATAAACATTTCAATGTCAGAAAATGTTTCATAGTATTCATTTTTTTTTTATTTGTTTCAGTCCCTTAGTCCTAATTGCACCTTTACTTACTACCCAGCACAATTAATCTTTCTCCTTGGGATTTATGTTCTTCAAATATCTGTATTCTGCTACCATACTTCAGTCTTCTCCCAAATATTATTAACTCTTCTAATCTTTCCTCATAAATCATTCCTCCAGCCTTCTGATAATGTCTGTTGTTCTTTGAACTCCTTCTTAGTTGTCAGTTTGTTTTGGGTTTGTTGTTTTTTTCTGGTAAGACAATGCTCAGAATAGAAAGCAGTGTTTTAGTCATGGTTACACTAATGAGATGGCTTACTTCCCTGACTGGAATGTATCCAGAAAGTAACACTGGCCCTTTTATACGGTAGATTCAGGTTTGAAATGCTGCCCACTATCAAGCCTAGTTCTCTTTCTTCCCAGTTTTCTCTCTGAATATTTTTTCTTTGCAGTTTTCATGCTGGGCAACTGTGTTTGAGAATAAATTATTACTATTTTTTTTTCAAAGAGAATCTCGTATGTTATTTCTTGTCTGTGTTTCTAACCTGAGTCTTTTTTTTTTTTTCTTATCCCTATCTTCACTGGCATTTACCATGCCTCCAAAATTATCTGACCTAAGGAAGGGTGCATGATGTCCAAAAAACGTATCCAACCGTTCTCCCAAATATACAGTTGGTATAATAAAAGAAAAAAACCCTGCTTTCAAAATTAATACATTTGCTGTATTTTATCTTTTAAAAAAGGACTGCTACAGACTTTTCTGAAATGGTTCAGGAAATTTCAGAGGAGATACTCTGCAATATATCCATTTAAGGTACAATTAAGGAAGCAAGGAAGTGAGGGTAGTGACCCTTTGCTTACTCCCAATTTTAGGTTATTCCAGGGTTTAAAGTGATCCTTATCTTCATTTAGGTAGTTCTGAGGCCAAACTTACAGAGCCCTGCTAGGTTGTTGTTTGGGAGGGTTGTTGGGGAAAGGCTCCAGAGTAGCTGCATGTGGGCTCAGCAAAGGACAGAAGCAGTAGTGGTGGGCAGGATCCCCTAGCCCCTGTGCTTGCTCCCTGTCCTGCAGGGAGTTCCCAGGGAGATGGACAGAGAGGTAGAACTGACCCCTGCACAGCACCACTGCATGTTGCAGGCCATCAACATGACCTTCATGGCCCCAGCCCCCCACAGCTTGCCCCCCTAACCCTGGCTCGCAAAGAGACCCCCAAGATTCAGTCTTATGGTGGTTCAGTGTCTATGTTAAGAGAATCTTCCCTCCACTCAAACTTTTAGGGTCCTTTATGCTATTCTTGTTCTTATACTCAAGGTACAGGGTCTGGAATAAAATGAAGCACCCCATCCCAGACTGTCAATATCCACTATGCCAGTGATTCTCAACCAGGTTGCCATGGTACCCCGGGGTACTTTGGGAGCTTTTCAAGGATGATGTGGGATTCCATCCAATGTTAACACTGAAGGTTTGCAACATGATTCCCAAGATAAGCCAAGAGATTTCAAATAGGAATCCACTGTGTTAAAAACATTCTCACTTGCTGTGCTTTTTCCAAGTTCTTTGCAACAGAAAAAGTGCTCTATTGTTTTTTCTGTAGTCAAAAAAATTATTGAAAACTAAGAGGTGGCATCTTCTGAGGATTGCCTTGACTTTAAGAGAAGCCTTAAGTCTAAAAGGGTTTAGAATAGAGCAACTGCATTGTGCATAGCCATCTGTGTTTAAAATACACACTTCATTTTATTTGTATACTTGTAAATCACTGTACATGTTTTTAATACCTTGATATACCATATTTAAAAATGAAGGAAAAACGATAGGGAAATAGGAAGAGTGGATGGCTCACTAGATGATTAAAGAGATCATTGTTATTATTTATTATTCTGTAGTTCACTAAAATGTGCCGGATGCATCACTATATAAATTAAGAACACAATAAAGAGGGAAAAAAACAGTAGGATAAGGGCAGACTACAGTCATACCAGTAGGATTGTAAAGTTCCTCAGGCCAGCAGACTAGAACACAGATCTATTGTTTTTAAAGCATAAAGATTATTTGTATTCTTATACAAATATTGTATTCTTATACTGACTTATGATTTATAGAAATCACCACAGACATATATTTTAGAAAGGCAATTTTTACTGAGGCCCTCGTCTAAAGCTAAATGAACTGAAGAGAAGATTTTCTATTGATCACAGTTGACCTTGGACCATGCTTTTACACTAAATCTCTCCCATATCAAAACCTTAAATTATTAAGTCATTACCATATGATATATTTATAATGAAAAATGTTAGTGCTATCAGTCCCATTTCCAGTGGGCAAATGTCTACAGCCCCAAATCTGCCAACAGGCACATTATGCCAGCTGACAACACAAAGAATAACTGTTGGAGAATGTATACATGATAGAAACCTTTATACTGTGGCCTGTAACATGTTCCTTACATTACACTAACTTAGAAATATAGAATTACTCACTTTCAATGGGATTTATACTCCTAAGGCTGATCCAATTAAAATGCCTGCAACATCTCAAGTGTTCAGCATCCCACACTTTAAAATGGTAGTGGCAGAGGGGATCTTGGGGTCAAAACCCACACTGAAAAAAGCGGGGCAGCATACACGGAGGCAGCATGCGCCATCCAAAACCAGAGCCTGGCCATTCAAAGCTACTTTCCGGCTGCTGGCAAGACTTCCTGCCATGGCTGCAGCCCCAGGAGGACCTCAGAACCCTAGATAAAGCTGCTGAGGATAATACAGATGCTGGTCCCAACCTTCCCTACCCCACCTGCAGTAACTGGCCACATGCTAGAGCATACATGGCATAGGCATTCCCCAGTGACAAGTAGCAGCAGCATAAGGTGTACCACTGCTACTTGTCCGTACAGAAACAATGTCTGTACTTGTCTGAATGCGGCCTTAGTGGGCAAACCCCAGATGAATCCATTTATATCTGTATGGACTTGTCCATCCATCTGCACATTACCAGAAATCAAAGGCCTCTATGTAATTCCCAGTACTGTGTGACCCTGAACAGACAGTTGATGTTGGTGGCATAACAGTGGAGATTGGAGTGCTAGCCTCAGGTGCTGACTGTGAAAAAGCACAAGAATACCTGCACTGGGAGTCTTTATTAGGGCAGGGGCAGCCCTACACTGCGTAGACATAGGAACCAGGCAGCACAACTCTGTACCCAACAGTGTATCTAATAGTTGTGGGTGAGAGGGACAAGTGGACTGGTGCTCTGGTTCCCAGCCTTTTTGGAGGAGTTTTTGTCAGAGGCACATACAGCCCTACACCCAGTAGCATACCTGGGGTAGAGGAGGGTAAAAGGGGCACCCAGGGTGGCTCTTTAGGACTGATGCCATCTGAGCTGACACTGCTACAGTAGAAGCAATGGCAGCAGTATCAGCTTCCTTCAGTGTACAAAATGCCCAAGACTTCCCTTCCCATCCTCCCACCCTGTCTACAAGGTCTACAGTGTTCAGCATCTAGCTCACCTCCTCCATGACCTGGGCAACTCTGGTTCATGTGAATGGAAGAAAGAGATTAACAGCTAGCAGCGGTAAAGTAGTTAATGGCCTTCCTGCTCATTATGGCAGCTAAGGAAAACCTGGATAAGCAGGAAATCAGAATTATACCAACTTAATCACCTAGAAAAAACACAACTGAGCTGATTTGCCAGCCTGCTTGGTACCCCAGTTCAGAAGTCTATATATACGCCACATATTCTTAATTTTAGGCATGTCTCATTGAAATCAGATTTCATGGCTGAGTGGTTTGATGTAGAAGAAGACAACTTAGAATATTTTATATACTTTGCACAAGTGGGGCATGTCCACACATGCAGGCACATGCGCTTGCAGCAGCTCAAATAGAAGCGGCACAAATTTGTGCCGGGGCTTTGAGCCTCATCTCATGTGCCTGAACATGCACTTTGGTGTGGGGCAAGTTGTGCCACCTAGGGCAAACTGACCCTGCCCAGCTCCTCTTGGATCTTCAGCCAGGGGCAACTGAAGGCTGGGGCCAGCACCTGTGCTGACCCCAGCAGTATAAAAAGCTGTCCTGGTGAGCAGTTCAAAGCTACTTGCTCTCAGGATCTTCTGAGACCTGGCCAGTTGACATATGGGGACACTAGTCTCCTGTGCCAGCTGGACAGCTGCAATAGCCCTGACCTACAGTGGACTCTGCTCCCTCTACCCACTGCAGCAGTCTGGCAGTGGAAGCTGATGCCTAGCTGTGACCTGCTGCCACTTGTGACAGCATCTGCCCCCTTGGACCTGCAGCCCCATGTCTGCACATCTGCCAGACCTGGATGGGGACTGCACAGCCACCTGGGCTGTGGCATGGCCACTGTAGCATAACCATCTGCACCTCAGAGCCAGCTGTAATTGGGCTCTGGCTTTAAAGTTGGCCTTCTTGCAGCACTGCTGCCATGTGTCCTCCCTGCCCCACCATCTGGGCAGCTATCACCTGGAAGATGTCCTCAGTGTGGTCATAGAATCATAGAAATTTAGGTTTGGGAGGGACCTCAGGAGGACATCTAGTCCAACCACCTGCTCAAAGCAGGACCATCTCCAACTAGATCATTCCAGCCAAAACTTTGTTAAGTCAGGTTTTGAAAAACCCCAAGGATGGAGCTTCCACCACCTCTCTCAGTAACCTGTTCCAGTGTTTTACTACCCTCCTAGTGAGAAAATTCTTCCTAATATCTGACCTAAACTTCCTTTACTGCAACTTGAGACCATTGCTCTTTGTTCTGTCATCTGCCACCACTGAGAATAGCCTAGCTCCATCCTCTTTTGAACCCCTCCTTCAGGTAGTTGAAGGCTGCTATTAAGTCTCCTCTCGGTCTCCTCTTCTCTAGACTAAATAAGCCCAGTGCCCTCAGTCTTTC